AAGGAAATAAACTGGTTTAAAGAGAAATATTAAGGATCGGAGAGAAGAGAGAACAGAGCACAGGTAGCACCAGGATGTAAACGCAACTTCAAGACCAGCAAATTTTATCCAAGTTTCCATGTACATTGTAATGGGATATTTCTAGCAGGAAATGGGAATAGAAAAGGAGGGAAGGACTAAGCATGGTTTTAGAGAGCGAGGCAGTGGTAAATCTTTTGGCCAATCATATCCCTTGACTTAGGAAAAGAAAGGTAAGAGAGCAAGGACAAACACTGCAGTATTTCCCACCTTTCAGTGGAAAGCCAGGCCATTATTCTCAACCTTGAATTTGTGCTGTCAAGATTTCAGAAAAATACTAGCATCCAGTTGTTAATTATTTACTAATTCATTGTTTTGTTTCAAACTGTATGTTTTGTTCGTTTGTTTCTAAAAGGAAACTCTTAAGTTTCCAAATGTGCTTTTTCACAGGAAGTACATAATGCTACATACTCTGAGGTACCAATTTCCTTATGGTAATTAGGCAATATCTTGGTGAATTGTTGCTTGAAACTACTTTTGACTTCAGCTTCTTCTTGGTCAGAAATTACTTTTCAGGCCTATGCATCTTGATAATTGACCACCACATAAGTCAATATCTGTTCAATGTTGTATCTAATGCACTTTAATGAAGTTGCAGTTATTGCAGATATTAGCAAAATGGGACATTATTGGACAGTTTTAAAATGAGCATTAAAGTCAAGTTAGAGAGAGAGAAAAATGATTTGGCCTTTACACGATCAGCCTTTATTTCTGAAGGACTGAAATCTTCCATTTTAAAGCACTTATTTTTTTTTTAGTTCTATTTCCTGGCAGCAACAATCAACTCAGATGCAAAACTGTACATGGCTAGTTTTCCATGCAGACTGAAGTGAAGGGAGGGAAGCATCCAGCATCAAGTATTTACATCCCAACCCAGAATAATCAAGTATTTACAGACCTGCCATTCTTCTAAGCTTTCATTTTCTCCTCCTTTTCTCCTAGCAGCTATCTATGCTATTACGTACGTAGGGTGAAGGCTAAGGATAGCAAAGCAGGTGATTACTGCATCTCTGGAAGTGGCCATCTGCTCATGTACAAATTAGCCAGGTCAAAAGGGAAGCATAGCACAAACATAACTGATTCTCTGGCCAAATGTAAGGAAGAATGGGAGTGCTGAAACCAGCACACAGCCCTGCCACTTCTACAACCCAGATTCTTTCATCACCTTTGTAAATCTGTTGGCTCTCAGTGAGTATTAAGATCAGAGTTATGCTCCGAATCTATTCAAGGCCTTTTTGAATAGTACAGTCTTTCATGACTATGGCCACTTTTACACATGCTCTGGCAAGTTCTGATTAAATTAATCAGATTAATTGAGTTTGCTGCAGCATTCTAATCAGAAGCCTCTAGCGTGCTGCAGAATCTCATGTATTCAGTGTCCTTCATTTCAAAATGGTGGCAGGGGCACTTTAAAGCTCATTGAACCAGCTTTAGTCAAAGTGCTCCCACACCATCATTTTGAAACACAGGATGCTGAATACACAAGACACTGCAGGCTGCTCTAATGAAAACATCCCCCCTCCCCCAGCACACCCCAGAGCACATGTATAGGCATCCTTTGTTTTTAGTGTCCAAAGACCTAAGGCCTCCAGAGGTGCCTCCTGCAGAAGACATGACTATTTTTTTCTTTTTCAGTTAGATTATCAGACTTCTCACCTTAGCTGATATTATCCAGAGATGTTCTTGTTTTCACAGAGATATAATTGGATGTGCTAATTACAGTGTGAATCTTATTTTTATCTAGACAAGCAAATATGAGTACAAAGACATTTTGGGTGCCTGAAAGGAACCTGAATTTCAAAGTGGGCTAAATGCTCAGCACTCTGCAAATCAATTCCCTTTACAATGTTTGGAAAGTCGGACACCCAACAAAAATCACCAGTTACTAAGGAAAATATAAGTTTCATGTCTGACGTACAGTGAATCCCATTCTTATTTTAAGACTACTTTCTGAGACAGAGAAAGTTGCTTTGTTGAGTTGTACCATGTTTGGGGTTCAGAAGATAGTGTTTACACAGAGGGAGAAATGCTGTCCATCTTGCTTAAGTCTTCTACCCGGGGCAGCATCTCCTTTATTTTATACATAGCTCTCCAGTTTCACTTTTGCTACCTTTTAGGAAACCCCTATCCTTTTAAAGATAAGTGGCATCTGACTGTATGTGGAGTACAGCCTGGGAAGTTTCATAATCCTGGTACTTCTCCAAGGACAAGGACTGCAAATTCAGTTCTGTTACTGGTGCCAGTCTCTCTAGAGGAGAACTTCAGGCTCATGGCCCTGAACCCTCTTTACCTCCATTTAGCCAAAGACTTCCACATGCACAACAGCCACTTCAATTCTCTTTTCAAGCCTAGAAAAAGAGAAGACTTTGAGGGTATTTGACAGCAGCTTTCAAATATATCAGGGGTGAGCATCAGGGACTAGGCAAACAACTATTCACCAAAACACCCCAGGGGAAAACCAGGAGCAACAGTCATGAACTCTTAGAAAAAGACTTTAGACTGGATGTAAGGACAAACTTCACAGTTCGTGTGACCAGACTCTGGAATAGACTCCCAGTGGGGTGATGCAGGCACCTACCCTCGAGATCTTCAAAAGGAGACTGGACGCACACCTTGCTGGGGTTATTTGAGGCCAGAAGTCTTTCCTGCCCAGAGCAGAGGGGCTGGACCCAATGATCTCACAAGGTCCCTTCCAGCCCTAAACTTCTGTGAATCATTTGTGATATTTCTGCTTCACATCCACAGGGCTCCACAATAATCATTCAAGGATTGGTCAGTGGGCCAGCATTCTTCCAAACAACTTGCTAGCTGCTGTTCCACTCAGCCCTTCCCCACCTTGTGGTTTGGCCTGGAAATACATTTTTGATATATAATACTGACCATATTATCTTGCATACAACATTATTTTTCCCAGAAATCAGCTTCTGGAAATTGCAGTGTGCATTATATGCAAGGAAGGTGGTAGAAACTGTAAAGTAGGTAAAATCTACAATTTGACTCTCACAGGGAGCAGAATGAGGAATAGGCTCAGATCCCTAGCTGCTACTCAGTTACTTACTACAAACAAAGACCTTTTTCTTAATTCTACCTTTCAAAAACAAAATCATAAGCCAGGGCATGTTGTATGTAAAAAAAATATGGCAAATACTTTGTACTGCTCATGGGGGTTGCTAAAATTTTTTTTTGGGTGGGGAGGGCGGGGAATGGAAAGTATAACATGAATAATGAAATATCTGTGTTTTATGGTAGGAAGTGAAAGCTCATTTGACATCAATAATGCAACTGGAGCCATTTCTGTTATAAAAAGCCCTAATCAACTGAAGAAAGAGGTATATGAGCTAAAAATTCAGGTAGGTTCCCAAGACTTGTCTCCAATGGGCTGTTGTCCACACATATATATTTAAAAATAGGTAAAATGTGTGATACCATAAGTGCTCCATATTCTATTTATGCTTTCACCTTTCCAAGCCCTGATGTGGTATAAATTAAAATAAGTTCCCTTTATTTGCACAGATATTAAAAATGCCTCAAGTTTCCTCTTTAAACAAACTGTATAGAATCAATGTTTAAGATAACTTATGTAAATGGAAATCATATTTTAAAATCCTGCAAATCTGCCAAGATACAAACTGAATAAGGTCTGAAGAGTCTTGTATCTCACAGACTAGTAAAACTCCAGAAGAAAGAATCTCTGACATCTCACTGTAGCCATTGAAGCCTATAGTTCAGTATAGGTTGCCAGTCCTACCTGACAATCTGGGTAAATATTGAGGCATTTAGCCCATACTGAACTCTGTTCTGCCATGGTTACTCTGCTCGTAGTATCTGTATTAAGTGTATTCACTTCTGGCTTAAAACCTGGCTCCACATGTTCAGAGATTTTAAGATGGCAATAGAATAGTGTGTTGCATCAGAAAAATCAAAGCAATATTTTTCTGCAAGTAAAATACTAAATGAAACCCAGTTTAGTGCTGGTGTTAACCCCTTAACTGAAATGGGTACACATGATCAGGGGTAAATCTGATGGGTTTTAGTTAATGGCCATGTCTTCAAAGATATTTAGGTACCTACCTCTCAGGAATTCAGTAGGTAACTAGTCTGTGAAACAAGGAAACAGTCAGCTCCCTCTATTATTTAAAGCTTAGGAAGCACAAAATGGTGAAAGAATAGACATGAATGAGCTTAATACATATGTGGTGGTTCAGTTCCTACAAATATGTGCTGATAGTCTAGTTGCCTATCCAAATCTTATCCAATCCACCTACTGCTAGCTGAGGCTGTGAATCTGAGAACAGGCCTCCACAGAGAGATATATTGTGTTTTCTTCTTCAGATCTATCCCCAAGTAAGTATAGCTCTTCTCACAGTGCTTCATCACTCTGATTCTCCCCTTCCTCCTCCCCACTCCCCTCCACTCCCATGCCCTTTCCCCACTATTGTATCTTATTGTGTTTTCCTTGTACTGTCCCTTTAAAACCCTCATGTTCAGCACTGCAGGGTTCAGTTGCTTTGTGGCAGTTTTGCAGCACTGGAGACTCCTGTTCTCTGCCATGAGGAGCAAGAGGCATTCTTGGTTCCTCTCCCTCCACAGGACTGGACTGGGTCAAGTCAGAGGCAGAGAAGGTATAAGTTCTGCATACATCTACTGAGGGCCATCATTAAGATCCACCCTGGATATGATTCCAGAGAATTATAATAATAAATAATTGTTAGTTCAACCCAGGAGTGTCCAGAGTGTTGTTGATGAACTCACAACATATTATCTGGCAACGAGGATGGGATCCTTTGCTTAAAAGACACCCCTAGATTGTGAGGACAACATTCTGAGACCAGGCTGTGTTTTGTGATCAGAGGGAAGTTTTTTTTTCTTCTTCTTTTCTGTCACGGCTGATGTTAGTTAAGATGGCTACATTGGGGCATATAGAAGAATTTGATGCAAGCCAGCCAGCTTCTTGGGACTTACGTGGAAAGGCTATCCTATTACCTGGAAACCAAGAAGTGGAAAACCCAGAACAGAAGCATGCTCCTGAAAGTCTGTGGTGCCAAAACATTTGCCATTGTTCGTTCCCTCACAGTACCTGCCTTACCAAACACCACATCTTCTGCTGAAGTAATTGCTCTGCTAAAGGCACATTTGTGCCCAAGGCCATCTGTTACCCTGCAGAGATTTCATTTTTTTAAACGGGACCAAACTCCAGCGAAAGCATACGAGATTATTTAGCTGAGTTCTGTTGTCTTGCAGAATTTTGTGAGTTCGGTGATCTTCTGGATCGCCTGCTCTGTGACCGTCTCATCTGTGGGCTCAAGATGAAGCAGTCCAATGTCGCCTACTCTCTGAACCAAATTTGACCTTGGTACTGCACAAGAAAAAGCTTTGGCAGCTGAAGCAGCATCACATAACTTGAGAGAAATTTACCAGGCGTTCTCCAGCAATGTCCACTTACTCCAAAAAGATCAAGTATCAAATCATCACCAGCAAATTCAGTGGATTATATCCTCACCAACAGCACCACATAAACCAATTAATCCACAGAGATGTTTGAGTTGTGGCGGCCAACATATATGAAGGGAGCGCAGGTTTAGGAATGTGGAGTGTTATGCCTGCAAAAAGAAGAGCCACATAGAGAGGGTTTGCCACTTGAAGGCCAGTTCCAGGAGACAAACAGACTGTGGCAAATGTATTCACTCCCAAACCACTCACAGATTAAAGTCCTCCCCAGAATATGAGGTACAAAAACTATATATGATTCAGAATGTTGGTGTTGTTGAAACTAGCGGTTCTGAGATTATTGTAACTGTAGTAATGAATGGAAAGAAGTACAAAATGGAAGTGGACTCGGGTTTGGGAGTATCCTTCATAGATGAAAACACATTCTTCCAGTTGTTTTGGCAACCTGTCCCCAAGCTATTGAAACCTGAGTGCCACCTGCATGACTACATTGAACAGATTGTGGAAACTTTGGGTAGCTGCTGTGTAGATGTCCAGTATGGATCTGTTAGACAGTGTCTACGCCTGATTGCCCCTAAGGGTTCCTGAAAAGGTCTTCTGAGGAGAAATTGGTTCTCACCATTGGGAATCAATATTCAAGGCATACACAATCTCTTCACAAAAAGTCTGGAAAGGCTTGCAAGAGAGTTTCCCCAGGTATTCTCCAAGGAATTAGGAACTTACTCTGGTTCACCTGTGATGTCCCAAATGGATCCTGTGATAGCCCCTGTCTTTACGAAGGCTTGGAATGTAGCTTTCGCACTATGACTGACAATTGATGCAGAACTAGATCAACTTATCACGCAAGAGGTCCTCAAGCCAATCATACACACAAGCTGCGCCACACCAATTGTTCCTGTTTTAATACCTAACAGCAGTGTTCGCATCTGTGGGGATTACAAGTACACTGTTAATAAGGGACTTAAGCACCCAGTGCCTCCCATTAACCAGTTACTGTCTGTTCTTGCAGGAGGGAAGGTTTTTGCCAAACCTGACCTCACTCAAGCCTATCAGTAATTGACAGCGGATGACGAGGCTGCTGAGGCCCAAACAATTACACACTGGGGAGCATTCCGTGTCAAGCACCTCCAGTTTGGAATTTCTGGGTGTTGCAGAGCACTTAGGTGCCCTGCGCCTGAGGACAGGGATGGCTCCAGAGAGCCCCTAGTGGTGAGAAGGGGGAGGCGCAGCCGCCAGTCACCAGGGCAGCACAGGTGCTGGTTGCCGGGGCAACCGGTGAAACCCCCTGACAGGAAGGGGCAGGGCTTAGCCCTCCTTAAAACCCAGGCAGGAGGCTAGGGTGGCAGTTCCTCCTCTGATAGCCAAGGAGTGAGGAGCTCAGCCAGTGCAGAGAGAAGGCCAAGGTTTGGCTGCACGAGTATCCGCAGGTTGCTGCTGGAGTATTTTTGCCTGGTAGGGATTAACTGTTGTACCGGATGGTTTAGTTTTATGCTACAGCCCGGGGGCTTTGTGTTTTGTGTTCACTGTTTAACCGGAGGACCGGGTGAGGCTATAAGGGGTGGAGGAGGCCTCATAGGGACTCCCCAGTAGTGTGGGGGTTCCTGGCGCTGAGGAAGGTGCAATGGTGCATTGTCCAGGAAAGGTTTACGTGGCAGTAGGCTTTATAAGATGCTGGTTTGCCAGCTTGGAAAAAAAAACCCTTGGGCCCGCATGGAGAGGGAAAAGAGGACAAACGCTAATCCCTGGGCCAGAGTTGGGACAACAAGGTTTGGATCAGCCACACCAAGCA